GGGCTGGCACCGCCGCATCCTGCAGGCAGGGAGCGGGGAAAAGCCACGGACAGCTCCCGAGTGCATCGTGCGGGACACAAACACTGCCCCGAGGGCACGGAAAGCCCGTCCGAGCACACCCAAAACCTCCAAAAACCTCTTGGCAAACTCTCCCCCGCCCCGCTCGGGAGTGAGCACCAAAACCGGAGCGGTTGTTACTCAAATATTTCTGTTTACAAAAGGGTCTTTCCTTGCTTACCTTAGCTGCAACTGGCAGGGAAAGATGAGCATGCTGGTTTGCACAGGAATCTTATCCCCCAAAAAAACAGGAGATAAATATAAAAGAATCACATTTGTGCTAGAAGAACAAATACTCTTAATAAGTTGTCAACATAAATTCTGTGGAGTCCAGTACTTGTGAAGTTGCTTTTGAGGCATCTATCTCTCATAATGTCACTTAAAGCAGACACAGTGCTAAGCTAACCTTGACTAGTTAACTGAAACACTTGTTTTCCTTTCCCCTTCTCTTACTTTTTTTATAAATTTTAACTGCTTCTCACCAAGTTCTCATCCCACCCTCCCCCTGCTCATTATCCTGTCCTTTAATCATCATTCATCCCCAGAGGAGGGTGAAAATAGACAAGAAAATGAATCCTGTGCTGTTTGGTAATAGAGATCTCTAATGAAACTCACTGTGAGTTTTCTTTTTCTATTTTCAAGATCCTTTTTCTATTGTCTCCTGTTCTTAAAGCTCCACACAGGTTTAGTGCATGATAAGTATTTGCTGCAAAGGCAGCACGTTCCTGCTTTTCCATAGAAACCCTGGGCTGGAGGAAACATCGCCTGCAGAAGAAGCCACTGAACACACTTGATTTTATTTGCAATAACTTCCAGAGGCTCTTCCAAATCGACTTTCAACCACAGCCATCCTGGATTATTCCAGGAGAAATCACAACTTGCAATCGCCCAAAAAGCAAAATTTTTGAGGCATATTGGAGAGAAATACCGAGGTACACATTGCAGAGGAGAGAGAAGTCTGCTCTCAAGCATCTGCTTATCAGCTCACCCAGTGAACTCTTCCTTTCAGTTCATTTTTACCAGGGAGTGGCCTTTCCTGGGGGAGAGGCTGGGCTCAGCATTGGAAGAACCTAATGCTGCTGACATTGAGTGAGGGTTTCACTTGAATCTGACATTTAAAGAATCCTTTTGGATCACTACTCACAGCAGCTTGTAAGGCACTCACAGCCCTTATTTTCCTGGCAATTCAAGCATCAGTTTCAGAAGCCAGAGCCTTTCTCCTGTCTCTCTCCTAAGTTTGTGTGCCCAGCCCAGGGGTGAATGTGAGGTCTGGCTCAGCCCTTTCAGCAGTTTCAAACACCAGCGTTCATCCAGGGCACCCTGCTGAACTCATTTGTCACTTCTGCTAATTTATGAGCTTTTAAAACTTTCATGACTTGACAGCCATTCCCAGGTGAGGAACAAAAGTGAAATCCACTAAAACCCCTATAATTATTTAGGCAAATTTAATGCTGGGATTAGGCAGCAGTTTGCCACAGCTCTGGGAGCCAGTTACACGAGTGCTGGGTCATTTTTCCTTTTGCTGCTCTCTGACCAAGCTGTCCCCAGCCAGTGTGAGCAGAATCAGCTCTGGTCCAGCTCTGGGCTTGCCTGAAACTCTCAGCAACAGGATGATGGTGCAGGTGTTTCCTGGAGATTCAGAAAATAGCACAGAGCTTGTTAAATTCTCCCTGGGTACCCACATAAAACAGCTGCTTAACTTTATTTAATGTTTTTCAATCACTACTGGCTGCTGCTGGAATCAAAGCAATGGGCAGCAAAGGAGAGATTTTGTGTCTCTATTCCCACCTGCTCCTCCCAGGAGATGCTGGTTGGACAAGGCCCTACTTGGTCCTTATGAAGACTTAAAAATATAAACACTGAGTAGCACTTTGATTCAAATAATCTTAATTCAAGCAGAAATTGGCTACTGGAAGGCCAAGTCTGAGCTGAACAAAGCCCAGATCTCGCATTCAGAGATGGACATTCTTTAATCTAAACAGTGCACACACTAGACATGGAGAAAGCTTAGCTGAATTTACAAAATATATTGTAGTATGTGGATACAAACTGTACTCACACACCTCAATCACCCTCAGGAGGACTTTTCATGTCTGAAGAATGGAATTTACTAAACAAGAAATCAGCTGAGGCATATTCTCAAAAATAACGTCTAAAAGAGCTGTCAGATTTGTAAATAACTGGTTATACTAATAAACTGAAATAAATTTAGCCTCAACGTAACCTTCTTGGAAAAGTCAAGGGTTCCTGGAAACCAAACAAAACACTGAAGTCTTTTAAAGATCAGTGAAGCTCATTGTTTAAATAGAAATAATGTTGTGCATTCCATGAGGAAAACCACAGTAGTGACTACAAAATCACAGAGCAAAAACCACTGCTAACATCTCCAAGGATCTCAAGCTCACTCTTGAATGATAAATTAGATCCATCAGCAGGGAGAAAGGATCAGTGAGAGAAATTATTTCTAGTCCCCAAAGACAGACAACAAGAGACCTAAATATTCAGTATTTGAGTGTGGGCACTGGTGTTTTTTTGACTCTACATTATAGTCACTGTAGCTGGCCCTCAGTGCCTGGCAGATTCAGCAGGGCTGATCTCAAAAAGGACATCAGTGCTCAAAAAGCCCATCAGCACATGTTGACTTGTGAACTATTTTTCCAGTGGCAGCCACAGAGCATCCCTTGTCATCAGGTCACTGGTGAAGTATGTGAGGAAATTTGAACACTGGCAACGAAAAGGAAAATCAAAAAAAGCCCAGAGAGAAGCACCATGTATGAAAGTCTGAATTTAAATCACTCATTTGAGGGGGCTCATTCAGGCTGGACACAGAGGGTAGAGGAAACCTAAAATTTCCCCCTTTTTCTTTCTGGGATTTCCATCTGCCAGAGACACAGGACATGAGAGGGTAGTGCAGGAGGGTATAAAAGGCAAGGATTTGCTTTTATTTGCTGCTCCCCGGGATCTGGAGCTCATGCACTGGTGCAGGGTGCTCAGGGGGCAGGACCAGGCGCTGCTGCTCCCCTGGCATCATCTCCCCTCTCAGGCACTGATGCATCAGCAGAGCCTCGCCCCCAGCCAGGAGAGCCCTGGGCCACAGCAGATGGAACCTGCAGGAAGGATTTCTGCCCTGCAGGAGATCAGGGAGCCTCTCAAAAGGCAGCCTCGTGTCACCCACAGGCTTTAGGAGTGCTGGAAACCATCCTCTGATTGTTCCATCTTCCCCTCCCAGCCCTCTCCTGTTCAGAGCCTGTTCAAGCTCTGTTCCCCTTTCCCTCCCTCCCCAGTGATCCCTCTCTGCATCTCCCTGGAGTTCCCCCCACCAGATTTTACAACAAAATGGCTTTTTTTGGAGAGATGAGGAAGACAGGAAAGAAAGAGGAGCGCCAAACCTGCTGCCAGGGGTGCAAGCAGAAGCTGTCACCTGCACATTGCCCAGCCCCAGGAGCTGTGGGTAATTTAAACTCAGTGTGATGCTGCCAATAACTGTGTTATTCAATCTGCAGAGCTCATGCAGTGACTTTTTATGGGGTTTTTCCAGTTCCACCCACTCACTCCCACAGGATCAGAGAAGGAAAATTTTCCCACAAGGAATACTTGGAGTGACCTTCCTCTTCCTCAACCTGCTCTGCCAATCCAAAGGCCATTTACCGGATCTTAAATCACCCTGGAAATCACTCAAGCAGGGAAACCTAAAATTTCCCCCCTTTTCCTTCTGGGATTTCCATCTGCCAGAGATACGGGGCAGGAGAGGGATTACTGCCCTGCCAACACTTCCCTCCAGAGTGGGTAGAGAGCCAAACTGCAGAGGATGATGAGAATAAATTATAGCTGAGAGGAGAGCTCCAAGGAAAGGAAAATGCATCCTCCAACTGCCTCATCCCTGCGGCACAGAACGGTGCCAGGGAATCCACAGCAAACTAACAGGATTCTTTCTTTAAAACCTAATCTACACCAACAAATTGTGCAATACCTCAAAATTTCTGATCATTTCACTGACAAGTGTAGAGACTGGATGTAATCCTGTAATTTTATATCCTAGTCCATGTATATAAAAGCTTTAGCTGATTGCTAAGGGCCTACTATGTGAAATGGCTCATAAAGTAGTAAGTCAGCACAAA